AAAAAATCAAATACATGTAGTCTTGGTGAGCATAAGTGTCTTCATTCAAAAACTAAAAATCTTACTGACCCCAAACTTTTGAACAGTAGTGTGCATAGAGATCAATCGATCTCTATCTATTGATATAAACAGACAATTTAAGATGTTATTACGACCTGATGTGCAGATTTGTACCTTAAAAGCCTGTATCAACATGTAGATCACTCCAGGAGAGCCGTGACACCAGTGCACCAGAAGATCCCGAGAATCTCCAACCCACGGTGGGTAATTGCCTGATGGAAACCTTAGCTGACACATGTAGTTCACACTGGGTTTGACTAGATGGTAAACTCGGTCCTCGCCAACCACAAAGCCAGGCTATGGGGGGAAAGATTGCTTGCTTCAGCCACAGTGGTAAAGTTATTTCCCTATATTTGTTGCTTTCTCAATCAATAAGGTATAGTGAGTGATTGAGTTCACCTGCATCAGGTAGTAGTAGATCCCTGCCAGGCCATGAGCGGCACCCACATACTCCTCCTGATACCACTCATACATGAGAGGGGTTTGCTCCTGGATCTTGTTCTTCTGAGACAGATTCTGTCCGGAATCCAGCACTGCATCACAGATCTGAAATAAACGCATGATCAGGTCAAATAGCGAATCAAAGGCAAAACATGTGCTTTCCCAATGCATTTAATTTCCATAAAGTGACATATTTCTAAATATGTATAAAATATTATATATTAAAATTATGTATGGCCTTATTTATATATTAAGGAATGTTAACTGGCCAATATTTAGAAACTGTCAGACATTTATATGTTAACTGTCAATTGTCAGTTCCAAAATATATAACCTCATTCAAAAGTTTGGTGACTGTACATTTTAAATTATTTTTAAAGTAAACAGTAAAAAAATAGTAATATTGCGAAATATTATTACAATTTAAAATGTCTTCTATTTGAATATATTTCAAAATGTAATTTATTCCTGTGATGAAAAGCTAAATTCAGCATCACTACTTTAGTCTTCAGTGTCACATGATCCTTCAGAAATTATTTGAATATGCTGATTTGGTGCTCAAGAAACATTTCTAATTATTATCAA